GGCAGTGGCAGCGGCAGTGGCAGTGGTAGGGGTGGTGGTGGGGTATTGCCAGTGGTAGTGGTAGAATCGTAGTACAATTAATTAAAGGGATAGAGAGGACTCTCACATGTCAGACATGAGCATGAGGTAAAATATAAATATTGATTTTTGCATGTTGAGTTTGCACATTTTATTATCTCCTGTGGACATATCTCTAGAGCTCTAGCTACGTGGTTAATAGTGTTAATTTCGATATCGTCCATACTGGTTGTCTCGTCATAAGTACTCCATAACACCACTTCCACCTCCCTTGCACTGAAGTCACAAAATGAAAGTTTATTATCACTCCTATAGACCAAATTCAAAACTCGCGCCGATGTGAGGCTTAAGTTGTGAACAAAGGAATCTGGCGTGATTCGTGACTTTTGAATCACGCCAGATTACTTTGAGTCACGCCAGATCCCTTTGTACACAACTTAAGCCTCACATCGGTGCGAGTTTTGAATTTGGTCTATATATTACAAAAAAATACGTTGTTGGAGCCAAAGTCCTCAAATGAGCAATAGGTGATGATAGGTCATTCCAAGATGGAAAGAACTGGAGGTTTTTTAGGAATACCTTTGTAGATCGACTACAAACGACACTGAACTCTCGCAATAACCCTGTTTTAGACTATCTATATATTAGATTAATAAGCAACACCAGTGATTGCATCTAGCTATCATTAGGCCTTAGAATGACCTATCTCCACCTATTCGCTATCGTTCTTTGCTCCTACGACATTTTTTGAAATTGGTATATTTTCTTTAGTAACAAAAGCAACGGGTTTGAAGATCATTAGCAGAGAAGAAGACACACAAAATCCACTCATAACTTAATAACTTACACCTTTTTCAGTCTGCTCGTATAAAATAATTCATTGTTTGTTAAAGGGAACGGGAAAGCTTCAATAACAGCTTTCAGGAATGACAGATTTAGGATTTAAAAAAAGGGGGGAAGGGTTCATTACAGTGCGAATCGAAAAACTTGGGAGTTGATTCTTTCGTGTGTAAATATTTTAACTTGATCGCCACAAAAGAACAATTCTCAAGAGAATGACATGTGATCTGAAATGGGCAATGCGAAGCTAGGATTCCCTCTCGGTCCTAGCCCCTAGCTAAATCCATCATTGAAAAACAACTTACATCTTCTTTGCATTCTTTATAATTACATTTGCATTCTTTTCTGCAATCTTTCGCTTTTTTAGGACAACTCTACAAACAAAAACCAAAAAAAACAAAAAACAAAACAAACAAAAAAAAAAACAACAAAAAAACTTAAATTAATCAATTCGCTCGGGACAAAACAATGGTCTTTTTTTTTTTTTTTTTGCATAAGAAAAGACAACCTATTGTTTTTCCCCCCCAGAACAATTCCTCTAGAAAATCAATGAGAGGGGTTTATATCAACAAATTAGATAATAACTAGACGCTCTGAGAGCGCGTACTCGGGCTGCAATAGGAGTAACTGATGCAGACTGAAAGCAAAGCCTGTATGTGGCTACTGTTTTTTTTAGACCAAACGGCATCACAGGAGTCCTATACAAGCTTTGAGAGCTGGTCCGTCAATTTATGTCTGACATTGGTCAAATATTCGTAAAGTTATAACAGTTTTTCATGTGGTCACGTGACTGGTGACGTCATATCTCACATGATTGGCACTGTGTGTAAGCAATGTCCAGCAATGTATGTCTGACATTGGCCAAATATTTGTAGAGTTTTATCTAGTCACGTGATTGATGACGTCTATGTCACATGATTGGCACCTGTGTGTAAGCAATATATGATGACCAATTTGAATGACTGAAGTTCTGCACTGACTAAACGACTGACTAGCATCTCATACATGTGAAAACGCTGTTATGTTTTCACGTGAACATAGTCAGTGCAGAATATGATAGTAATTCAAATTGTTGACATACTTCGATTCAGCGTATATTGATTTATCTTGTCAATCTCAACCGTGGAACAAAGAAATGATACTCTACCAAACTGATTTGTTGCAAGCCTTCCCAAGAGAGTTAAAATACAAAAGTATGGATGCTAATGAGAAATCTTTTGTTAGATGACAAAAACGCTCCGTCGAGAGGCCGCGATGACGTAACGTACAATCGAAGAATACCGTGTGAAAGAAAAACATGATATTCTACGGAACGACAAGTGGTCTGAAATGACAAAATGTTAGGTCCAAGACTTCTAATGTAGGAGATCTTATTTATAACATTTAAAAAAATATACAAAAAATTATCAAAAGAACTGGATTTTATGATGACCGGCCGACAAACAAGACAATAACTAGAATGGAAACTCGCCGAAAAGCCTTTGTTCTCTGTGTTTCTATATACTTGAACCTAGTTACATCTAGCGTCATTATAAATATCGGCCGGTGGAGTCTGAAGATTAATATTTTTAATTTGTTGCGACAAAAATAAATAGCTTAAAAATGAACTTTCGTCAGAAAGTATTCTTGGGATGCAAACCTATGACTCCGCAAAAATCCCTTGAGATGTAGATGATAATCAAACAGCCACCATGCTGGTTGATCTAACAAGAGGAGCTAACGAGGGAGGTTTTGTGCGTCTAAGTCGACGCAACATGCTTCCCAACTGAATATCTTTCTTTTGATCTCCCCTCAATAGTACGAGCGGCTACTTTCTTTTATATCCTTCCTCCTTTTTATACTTGTCAATGTATAGCTCCCCCCTCTAAACACCACCAAACCTCTTAAAACAAATAATGCCTTAGAACGGCTTTCATTAACCCGCAAAACAAAGTGTACTAATTAAAGTGTCAGATAAACACAATAGAAAACAAAAGAATTAGAGTGAAGTAGCTAAAGTGCTAACTGATATGGTAAAGTGTATTTCACGGGTTTATGTAAAAAAATAGCGATAAAATAAGCATACGGTTTAAAATACAGTACTAGTCTCCATCGGGTACCAAGGGTTGATTTACATCAATTGGTGTTGAAAAGTTTGGATAATATCGGAAATATATTTATATATAATATGTATTCCCCTTTATTTGAAAAGTCCTTTTGTTGCCTTGAATGTCAGTGGAATACCCCGTCGTTTTCTCAGCAGCCGTGTTTCGTATCGGTCAGAAAGCTAAAAACAGCTGCTGGGGAGGCTAGATACCCCGTTAAAACAATGATCAAAAGTACACCCAAGTTTTCAGTGTCAAATCAAGTGCAAATTGTTAACAGGCTATCCCGTTGACATTGAAGAAACTAAAGCCCTTTTCAGATAAAGAGGAATCACAGTAAAATATAGCAAAAACGGAAATTATGAAATAAAATAAGACATATATATGTAGTATGATAAAATATGGCGATCAATATGTGTCGTAAATTATATATCTAATAAATCAAATTAAATACGAGGCTAAAATAATTAAGAAATTGAATAAGAGGATTAGTAACTTTGTCGC